AGAGGGAAGAGGCGACGATGGTGGAAGGACCTAGGAAGGCCCGGAAGATCGTCAACCTCGACGAACCATGCGCCCAAGTTCATCTTGGGCGTGTGGGCGTCGACCAGGAGCAGCGGTGGTATCTGGACTCTGGTGCCAGTAACCACATGACGGGCTCCAAGGACTCCTTCTCCGAGCTCGACGACGATGTTACCAGTATGGTGAAGTTTGGTGACGGCTCAAGGGTAGCTATCCAAGGGCGCGGCACCATCATCTTCAGATACCAGAACGGGGAGCACCGCGCGCTAACGGATGTATACTATATCCCGCAGCTGCGTTCCAGCATCATCAGCATTGGTCACCGGATGAGCGCCGGATGCGAGTTCGATCAGGGCGGCGTTACGAGGATCGAGACCGAGAGCGGCGACTTCGCCCAAGGTGAAGATGTCCCTGAACCGGTTGTACCTGCTCGACCTGAAGGTAGAGCAGCCGGTTTGCCTGGCGGCAAGGCACTCCGAGGAACCGTGGATGTGGCATGCCCGGTTCGAACATCTCAGCTTCGACGCGCTTGGTCGGCTAGGGAACATGGTCTGAGGGCTACCCCACATCAAGCACAGAGGCGAGCTGTGTGACAGCTGCCTGGCCGGGAAGCAGAGGAGGCTACCTTTCCCAAAGGCGGCCAAGTATCGCGCGAAGGAAGCTCTCGAGCTAGTTCATGGCGACCTCTACGGGCCGATCACGCCTGCTACATGCGGTGGTCGGCGGTACTTCCTCCTACTCGTGGACGATTGCAGTCGCTATATGTGGCTGCAACTCCTGACGAGCAAGGATGAAGCGGCGGTGGCGATCAAGAAGTTCAAGACGCGCGCGGAGGCCGAGAGCGGCAAGAAGCTCCGCGTACTGAGGACTGATCGGGGTGGTGAATTCACTTTGGTGGAGTTTGCTACGTACTGCGCGGATCAGGGTGTGGGACAACATCACACCGCGCCGTACTCGCCACAACAGAATGGTGTGGTGGAGCGACGGAACCAGACAATGGTCGGCATGGCCCGATCCATGATGAAGGCCAAAGGGATGCCGGCAAAATTCTGGGGAGAGGCGGTGACCACGGCGGTGTTCATCCTCAACCGCGCTCCAACCAAGGCCCTAACGGGCAAGACGCCATTCAAAGCTTGGTACGGGAGCAAGCCGAACATGTCATTGCTCTGGACATTCGGTTGCATCGGCCACATCAGGAAGACGGGCGAAACCTCACCAAGGCGGAGGATGTGAGCACACCCATGGTGTTCCCAGGCTACGCGAGGGTACCAAGGCGTCTGGCTCTATGACCCACGCGACACAAGGTGATGTCTCATGCGACGTTGTGTTCAACGAGGAGGCGGCTTGGGACTGGAACAGTCTGAGCATGGGGGAAGCAGGAAGCTTCCCCAACACCTTCGTCGTCGAGCACTTGGTCATCCACGGCGGTGGAGACGCTACGGAACAGGTGCCACGCACTCCGGCGGTAGAGTCGAGCACTTTTGGGGCAGTGCCGAGCACTTCAGGAGGGATGCCGAGCACTCCGGGAGGAGTGTCGAGCACTTTTGGAGGGATGCCGAGCACGCCAGGAGTGGAGCCAGGAGGTTCTGCAGTGGTGGCGATCACTTCAGGACGGGTGCCGAGCACTCCCGTGGCAGAGCCAAGACGTCTTACTGTGGTCCCAACCACTCCAAGACTGAGGCTAGGCACTCCTATAGTGTGGCCGAACACTGCAGGAGTTATGACGAGCAGTCCAGAAGCAGTACCGAGCACTTCAGGTGCTATGCAGGGCACTCCGACGAAAGAAGGAACTCCATCACTCCCGATCAAGTTCACCTCACCTCCAAGTGACATCACTGAGTTCGTGGACGCCTACCACGAAGGTGAGGAGTTGAGGTTCCGCAGGCTGGACGACATCGTCGACGGCACAGGTCCCTCAGGTCTGGCGGGTAGGCTGCTCAACGACGCAGAGCTGCTACTCGTCAGCGCAGAGGATCCACCCACGTTCACGCTAGCCGAGCGTGATGGAAACTAGCGACGGGCGATGCTGGAGGAGATGAAGGCGATCGAGGAAAACGAGACTTGGCAGCTCGTCGATCCACCTCCAGGATGCCGTCCGATCAGCCTGAAGTGGGTGTACAAAGTCAAAAGGGACGAGCTCGGCGCCATTGTCAAGTACAAGGCGCGCCTCGTCGCCCGAGGCTTTGTCCAGCGCGAGGGCATCGACTTCGAGGAGGTCTTTGCACCAGTAGCGCGCATGGAGTCGGTCCGTTTGCTACTTGCTTTGGCGGCAGCAAAGGACTGGCGCGTCCATCACTTAGACGTTAAATCGGCCTTCCTCAACGGCGAGCTGGCGGAAACGGTCTTCGTCAGGCAACCTCCAGGGTTCGCTGTCAAGGGAGAGGAGCACAGGGTGCTCCGACTGCGCAAAGCGCTCTACGGGCTACGGGAAGCCCCTCGAGCATGGAACGCCAAGCTTGACGCCACGCTGGGCGAACTTGGGTTTCAAAGGTGCGCAACCGAGCACGCGCTCTACACGCGACGATGGGGGAAGGAAGAGCTCGTGGTCGGCGTGTATGTGGATGACTTAATCGTCACCGGCACGCGCATGGAGGATATCAACAGCTTCAAGCGAGAGATGGCAGCTCGTTTCCGAATGAGCGATCTCGGCGCTCTCTCCTACTACCTCGGCATCGAGGTGAGACAGGGGAAGGAGGAACTCACGCTCGGGCAAAGTGCGTATGCCTCCAAGCTGTTGGAGAGGAGCGGCATGGTGGAGTGCAAGCCATGCGTGACTCCGATGAAGGAGCGGCTGAAGCTGACGAAGGCCAGCACTGCGGTGAAGGTGGATGCAACACTCTACCGGAGCATCGTCGGCGGTCTACGCTACCTAGTCCACACGAGGTCGGCCATTGCGTTAGCCGTGGGCTACGTCAGTCACTTCATAGAGGATCCCAGAGAGGATCACTGGGCTGCGGTGAAGCGGCTACTACTCTACGTCAAGGGGACGGTGAATTATGGAATCATCTTCCCAAAGACCGGCGGAAGTAGGCTGCAGCTCATGGTATTCAGCGATGCAGACATGGCGGGGGACATCGACGGACGACGGAGCACCTCTGGCGTGCTCGTCTTCCTCGGGTCAGCCCCAATTTCATGGCTGTCACTGAAACAGAAGATGGTGGCGTTATCTACGTGCGAGGCAGAGTACGTAGCGGCGGCCACAGCGGCGTGCCAAGTTGTGTGGCTACGCCGGCTGCTGGGCGAGCTGATCGGCGTGGAAGCTCACCCACCAGCACTGATGGTGGACAACCAGCCCGCCATCGCCCTCGCGAAGAATCCGGTTCTACACGACCGGAGTAAACACATCGACGTAAAGTTCCACTTTCTCAGGGACTGTGTTGATGGAGGACAAATCGTCATCGAGTTCGTCGAAACTGCTCGGCAGCTCGCAGACGTCCTCACCAAGCCGCTCGGACGACTTCGACTCACGGAGCTGAAGGAGATGATCGGCATAGAGGGGGTACAAGGGTTAGCAGTAGGATTAGGGGAATATTGTTAGCTAATCTACTGCCACCTTGTGTGAACACAGCAGAGGAAGGCGGCGCCGACTTAGCCGCCTGCTGTGTGAACACATCAAAGGAAGGCGGAGCCGACTTTGCCCCCTGCTGTGATACAGTAGGCGTTGTAGGTGCAGGCGTCACACGGCTCACCTGCAGCACTGTAGGAACAAGCAGTGGCCGGCAGAGTCAGCCCTGTCAGGTTATCTAGTTACTGTGCCAGCATGGGCGCTGCACATGGACTAGATAGTTAGAGTTGTATAAATAGACATGTATGGCAACTCAGTAAAGAGAGCTCAGATTTGCCATCACACAGACAGGACCTCGCCCAACGCTGTTGTCTTGTATTGTGCGTGCTTGCTCTGTTCTCCCTTCTTCTTCTAAGCTCGTCCGTAGTGTGTGGGTATGGACAACGCCGGTACGTGGTCTGCACGGCTAGTGGGTGCTCGGCAACACTAGCGCGTGCTCGGCGAGACCGTCAAGTGCTCCACTCGTCTGAGCCGGTGCTCGGCAAGATCGGCTAGAGTGGTTCACTGTCGTGAGCCGGTGATCCTGTGAGACCAACGAAGTGGTCTGGAGGCCATCTCGATGATCGAGAGACTAACTGTGGGCCAACAGACAGCCGTTTGCCGTGAAACATTCGTATGGGTGACACTGACATGATGCATGGTGCATCTGTCAGCAAGAACGGCAGCCTATAAGTGGATGGCATCAGTTCCAGTTTTCCACGCTGATGAATTGACGGCTACATGTATATATGTAGACAAAGATACGCGTGTGCGTACACGCCCAGCAATCAAGATAGGAGTACGTTTGGTTGGTCGGCGAAATGAGATTAGCAAATAATCTCCGGAAACAACAGTACCTGTGGCATGCAACTTCCGATGTCCACTTCACCTAGTGTGCGCAAGGCCTTCAGATTCCCCGCACCTCTGGGCACACGAATACCTCCAAGAGGTTTTGCTAAGCCAGGCATCGCGACGTACCAGCATTTAGTATGTAGGTTGACATACTTATCATGCCAGGTCTCTTCCATATACATATATTATAGTATGTAGGCTGACATGTGCACGTACAACGCCGTACACTCACTCTTGAGTCTATGAAGGATGTAATCACGATCAAATCTTAAGCCACCAAGGCGAAGATACTGTAGATGCTTAAGTTTGATGATGGTCTTTGGCAGCATGGCAATCCATGTTGATCTAATATCCAGTGTTTGGAGCTGCCTCATGCTACCCACAGAGTCTGGAAGGTGATAGATACCATTACAACCTCTTACCTTAGGTGAACAAGCTTCCCAATATGCTCAAGGTGATGATTGCATAAACCCCTAGTGTCTTGCAGGTCCAAAACACGCAGGAACCTCATCTTATCAGAAATGAGAAACGGCTTCCATTTTCCAAACACTGTTAATGACCGTATACGAGAGACGTCCACCATGCTCTAAAAATCAGCCTGGTTTCCCTTCCAATTGTCACTTATACTAAGGTGGCGTGCCATCCCATTTGTGTTTGAGTTGCAACCTTCTTCTAGCCTGAATACAAGATTTTCCTCTACTGCTTTTGAGATGCTGATTTCACGCATGAGATCATGGACTTGGCAAGAGTCAATTACTTTTTGGCTAAAATATGTTGATCTATTTGTTAGTATCATGCTCCTGTCAATGAGTTCCATGAAGTGGCTCTCAGCTATTTCTTCAACAGACTTACCAAGCACCTCTGTCGAGTAACCCTCAGCAATCCACCGGCGCACCAAGCAGTTTCGTTTAATATCTTGGTCTTCAGGAAAGATAGACAGATATAAGAAACAAGGCTTCAGATGATAAGGTAAACCATCGTAGCTCTTATTAAGGACATTTTTAATATTTCTGAGCCCTTGATTCATTTCCAACTCAGCACTAATATGTGAGTTCAATTTTTTCCACTCCATAGGAGTTTTTGGTTGCTTTGCTAAGAAGCCACCTATGGTCACTATTGCAAGAGGAAGTCCTTTGCACTTCTTCATAATCAATTCAGCCACCTCGTACAACTCATCAGGGCACTCCTCATTTAAATTTGTAATCTTCCCAAATACCTGAAATCGATTCAGATTTCAGCATATAAAAGAATTATTGAGGGATACATACTAATTTATTTTTTTCCTTAAAGTGATTACTGTACAATGTTTTTTTTTTGCCCTTAAAGGTAAATGTCTGTATTATATTATTTGAGACACATGATAAACTATTCCCAAAATACTTGAACATAGGTAAACTGCATAATTAGTTGCTTGTACACATAGACTTGAAAAATATAGGTTCTTTCAAGCTAGGTTATGTTTTTTTTTTCAAAAAATTAAATATATATACTGTTTAGCTGTTGGTCTGGTTCCTTTTACAAGGCTGTATGTTTCATATAAACCATTCCTGTCAGGACCCACCATAAGTCAGACGTCACCCTATAAAATGCATATTCTTTGTTATGCAGAACAAATTATATAATATCAAAGTTTCTGCCATGATCACTGCTAATTAAGAACCAGAGAAAAGTTTATCATGTACTGCTTGCTTGCTCATAGCTGGGCAACTGGCATCATATCATGCAGATTTTTGAACTGAACATGATTAAATTACACAAACTGGAAGGGATAGTCGAATCTAGAAATTATGTTTTTTCCCTAAAAGTAAAACAATATCACTTAAGTGTCCCCGTGTGAAGCCTCATTAGTAACCATCCCATCTAACGCCTAATAGTCCACAGTCTGTCAAGTCCAGATTACAAAATGAACTGCTGTGTGCGTCTTATATGCTATTTGTGGTGATGATAATGATGGTATGTGTTGGTGGACACACTCGGGCACTCGGCATACATAAATGTTTGGGAAAAGATTGAAACAAATAAAAGTAAATAACTCAAGTTACCATAGAGTCTAGAGATATATGCTTTGTACCTCGATTATGTGCCATGATTATCCATGAGGAAACGTTATCAGTTAGACTCCTTTAGTTAATTTTGCTCTTTTCTGTTATTCTTCAACTACTCGAAATGGGATTTTCGATTATGTGCCATGATTATTCATATGAAGAATTCTTTGTATGTAACAAGCTACTACTACTACTAGTTAATTATTTCAATATATATAAATCAGTTGGAGCAAGTAGTTAGTAGTGTATGACAACATTGACTGGTGAGAGAAAGATGAAAGAACCGGATGATTCACAAATAGCAATTCCAAACCGTTTATTATGACTATTATAATTAAGCTAAAACTACCTTCTCCGTGAAGAGGTCATGTGCGTCTAGAATTTTGAACTCCATGATATGTGTCGTCTTCAATGAACAATGCCTTGCAATTTCATTTAACCTTGTGGTGACTATGATCCGGCTTTCTGTTACCATTCTAGGGAAATGGCTCTGTATATCATCCCATTCTTTGGTGGTCGATAAATCATCAAGAACAATCAAGTATTTTTTTCCATCTAAAATGTCATGGTTCCATTGCTTCTCACCACTCAGTTGCTCGGCCAAACTATTGAGAACTTCTGTAGGATTGAAAGGCCGCTTTACTGTGACACAAGCACGCTTGTCAAACATAGCGTTGATCTCTTGGCTTTGATAGACATCTTTAACCAGTGTGGTTTTGCCAAGACCACCCATTCCCCATACAGAGATGATCTTGAAATCTTGGCTAACTTCATTTGAAATCAACTTGAGAATTTGTGACTTTTCGTTCTGTCGTCCGATGAGCTTATATTCCTTGAAAGCAGTTACATTTGTCTCCATGCGAGTGAGATACTTTCCATTCCCAGAGCTACTGTCATCAATAGTCTCTGTAGTTGAGGTAGGCCCCGGATCCACTGAACATGTTATGTCTTGTGAACCCTAAAGTACAAACACACAAGTTAGGTGTTGCTTTCTATTTCACAATGCAATGTGTATGTTATTTTTTTTAAAAAAAATTGGAAATGTTTATGTAATAATTTCTATTCCATGTAAATTTATTTCGTCAACCATACTAGATCTAATATGAAGCAGTCTGTTAATCATGACGTGCAAGAAGGTTGGTACGTAGATGCTAAGTTCATTACATTTATATAAAAAATTAAGTTCGTTACATTTATATTTAGTTATGTGAGAAGCTGAACTAGATCAAAATGGGATTTCTTTAGGGATCTGAATATTTCCTTTTTTTCTAAAAAAAACGTCCACAAGAGCATGCCGGAAATATATTAATAAGAGACGAAGGGGATCTGAATATTACCTTGTCATAGAAAGCATAGAGGGCTTTATCAGGGAACAATTGCTTGTGCTCCGGCAGCAGAGTTGATGGCTCAACACACAAGCTTGCAACTTTTACATGCTGCGTACACACTAGGAGTCGACTTCCTTTCTTGTTAGTCGGGAAGCATGTTCTGATCTGGTCCCACTCATCCATAGTGGATAGGTCATTAACCACAATCAGGTAACTCTTCTCACTCAAGAATTTCCTGAACTCGTCAGCCAAATCATCTTCCTTGGCCACCCACAACCTCCGCAGATCTTGAGCTTCAGGAGCTGATGTATGTTTCTTTGTTTCTTCCTTGAGAGAATCTACAGAGAATTGCATCACAATATCTTGTAGAATCGCTGTTGTATTGAGAGGACGCACCATTTTGATCCAGGCGTGGTACTGGAACTTCCTGTCCCTTTTGAGGCCATTGTATGCTCTCTTGACAATGCATTTCTCCCCAAGGACGTCACTTGTTCCCCATACACCGATCACTCTAAGGTCCTCGTCCTTCTCGTTGATCAGTCGAATGAGATTCACTTTGGACTTGTTCTGTTGTCGCAGTGCTTCCTCCATGCCTGACATTGCTGTTGCACCGGACACCTCAGCGCCGTCTCCAGACTTGGAGCCAGCGCTCTTGACCAGTTGGCAGCGCAGGTTTCTTTGGCTCACGTCCTCCGCTCTGGCCCTCGATCAGCTCCTTCATCTTCTTGGCGATGCGATGCGCTCCCGCAGTGTACTAGGGCGGCGCCACCATGATGGCCTCTTGAGATGAGCAGAGCAGTCTTGGAGGCAATCCTCGGCATCGTAGGCCACATCACGGACTTGCTTCACCCAGGTCATGAGCACCTGGTGGTTGTCTCGCTCGTCATGCGCGGCCCTCAGGAAAGCACGCATCATCTCGAGCTCTTCCCTGATGAAAGCATGGTCACGCTGGACGCCAAGCTGCAAGGCCACCTCCTCCGCTACAGCGGATTTGGCGTAGCCAAGCGCTCCATCCAGCACGGACTTGCCCAAGCTCAGCGCCGTAGCCTCCATGGCTTAGCACTCCTCTCTGATGTGCTTCTGTGGATGGGAGTTGATGCTGCTAATGACTTTGGAGTTGGTCCAGAAGCCAGCCTTGGATTAAATAAGAGGAACCAAGCTGCAAGGCCAAGCAATTTCCATCTGCATATTGTCAGGGCGCACTCAAGTTGTAATAATGAGTCAATGTAGCCCACTAGCCCATTATATGGACCAACTAATTTAATCCAAAAGTGTAAGCTGACGAGGAAGTGTGAACTACCCACTTATATTTCAAATTAGGTTAGATAGGCGTGTATGTAGGTTTTAGTTACAACCAAAAGTCGTTAGTACAACCAAGTGTCTCCACCGTTCTCACGGTGCCTTGTGTTAGTGCGTTTACCCCTTCGTCATGTGGCATCTCGCTACTTGGCGATGACGGGTGTGTAACTTTTTTCTATCTCCTTTTAATGGAACACGTGCTAAGCACGTTCCCGAAAAAATAGGTTTTAGTTACGCACTGTCATCATGGATGGAACAGGTTAAGTGCCATAATTATGGACTGACATTATGGGTTAGCAAAACATGTTAATTAATCCGATTTGGTTGATTATATTGTACTATATTCATATATAGCTTTTTTTTAGTTTCCTGTCTTCCATCTGCAGCTATATGCAACCTTTAATCGAAGTGCTTGCTGATGCTAAAGTCTTCAAAGATGTACCTTTAACCAAAGTGCTGGCTGATGCTAAAGTCTTCAAAGATGCACCTTTAATCAAAGTGATGGTTGATGCTAAAGTCTTCAAAGATGCACCTTTAATCAAAGTGTTGGCTGATGCTAAAGTATTCAAAGATGTCTGATGAAGTTTGTAGTATATTGCTTTAATCTGCTTTAGGTTGTGCAAGAATCTTAGTGCTTACAATTAGTTTCGACCTTCTATGAACCAAGAAAATCTAATAAATCCTAATAGTCAATTGCGGCAGCGACTCAAAAACAGCGAAGCAGGCCAAGTTACCCAAATGCAATGCAGATCAGTCCAGCTCCGAACGAATCCACAAACCCACCCAAACCCCGCAGAACTAAATCCAAATCCAGATCCCACTCCCACTCCGCACGACCATAGCCAGAACAAGAGCAAGCCACAGCAACTTGTAACACCTGAGACGGAGGAGTAAGAGGAGATGGCGTATTCGGCTAAGGCATTATAGAACTCAGGATACGTAGCCTTCATTTATGTAATCGAATGTGTGTATGACATTTGGGTCCACTGGGCAGCGTGTGTATTGGCACATAAGTTAGATTACTCGAGTGGTACTAGATGACCGATGTGCAAACAAGTTTGTCCCTCTTGATAGTACGGTCATCTATCATAAACCCAGTCATAAACTTCTTTACACACCTATGACTGGTGAAATGAAATGTCCTATAGTTATACCTTTGCCTTGCGCATTCCATTACATCTCCTCCATCGTCGATGCAACACATGCACCAACCAATCATCAAATTAAATGATCCACTTCATATCATCACGTGACCGTATTGGTTCATCTATCTTGACCTCACTTGCTTTTCACCGTTGCCTTCGTCCATCGGGGCCAAGTCTTGCTCAAGCTTCACCGCCACGCGGTCCATCGCTCCAAAGCCTCCAACTTGCCCTTCACGCTTGTAACCGGTCCATCAAGCCAAGTCTTATCTTGATCTTCTCCACCTTAGTCACATGACTCAATATCATGTCTCATATGCAAGAGCTCCTTCATCACATGTGTGAGCCTTGTAACAAAATCCAAGCCATTTCACCTCCATGGCATGTATTGCTCATACATGTACCTATGGACTAATCAACTGTGTATCTCACATTTAAACACATTAGTCCACCTAGATTGTCACTCAATTACCAAAACCAAACAAGGACTTTTCAATCTTCCCCTTTTTGGTAATTGATGATAACTCTATAAAGATATGGAAATTAAGCTCATTTCAAGCTAGCACTTCACACAAGTGTAAATTGCTAACTTGATTTGGATGTTATGCTACTTATCTAACATTTAAGCTCTATGTCAAAATTTAGATATGCACCGTAAAACCCGACTTGGTAGTGATAACTCCCCCTACATGTGTGCTCAAATGGTTTGGTTTCAAGTTTGCACACATGCATAAATATGAAATTTGTGGGAGTGTTATCACTACTAAGTGATGCTAAGGTGTATAGAATAACCTTTGAAGCGTGATACTAATCAGAGTTGCACTTTTAACACCATCCTTAGCATCATGAATAACTAGACAACAAAAACACTAGAAACCCCATCAAATCAACATTATAAGTAAGGTTCTAGTACCACGTATAAAAACACAAGTCTAGCTACCATCCTTGCATGCTAGTTATCATTTCATCATTCAAGTTCTATAACTAGCATACAACACACAAGCAAGCATATAAAATTTAAAAACTTATGCAATGCAAGCAAGCACATGAATATGCACATCTCAAGAATGTAATTAATCAAAGTTCATGAGCTTGCTCCCCCTACTTATGTGCTTCTCTTGTCCAAGAATTTTGATCCTTCTCAATTCCTCAATGTTGCTCCCACTTTGTCCATTGTCCATGTCCAAAACCCCAATTGTAATATCTTTGTCTCAATCTCTCCCAAAGCTTTCATATCTTTATACAATCTCTCCCCCTTTGTCATTAATTTCCATAAAAGGTGTGCTTCTCATTGATGCAAAGGCTTGCATTGGGGTAGATGGTTGAGGCTTGAATCTTGCATTTTTTATGGACACCACTTGTATAGCTCTTTAGACACCATGTGTAGGATCTTATGACCTTGATACCAATTGTAGTGGGGCTCCTCCCCCTATGTCCAAGCATGGGTCATTCACGTGATAATCTTGAGCTCTTCTAGATGAGGAAAGCATTCTTCATTTGATGATCACTTAAAGTTGAGGATCACTTATGGAACCATCATCTTATATGAATGATACCATGAGTAGAGATGTGATGTCACATGTATGATTGATTTGTTAACAAAAACTATTTCTTGAACATTTGCTATTTTTATGAGTACCACTTGTAGGATATCACTTGTAAGTTGATCTAGACACTACTTGTGAATACTTGATGAAATACTTGAGTCTAGATGCCACTTGAAACAATCCAAACTTGTCCGGTGCCAGGGTCCCAACGGCTAGTTTGAAATAGCCATTCCAATTCGACCGTTGGGCACCGCCACCCTATGTCCGGTGATCGCGCAGAAATGTGATCCAAGGCTCCAACGGCTCTATTTGGCCTAGGGGCTATAAATAGAGGTGGAGCTCGGGCTTGGCTGAGGTTGAGCACCTTGGGGATGTGTTGCCCTTGTGTGTGCTTGGTTTGAGAAGCCTCTAACTCACTTGTGCTTGCGAGAAGTGCGAATCCATTGCGAGTGAGTGATTCTAGTGCGTTGCATTGTGAGATTACATTGAGTGGCACTAGGTGTTCAAGTTACAAGCTGGTGGTGCTTGTTACTCTTGGAGGTTGCCACCTCCTAGACGGCTTGGTGGTGGTCTCCGTAAAAGCATGCAAAGAAGATTATGCGGTGCTCCAGAGAAGAGATTGTGAGGGGTATTGTGCTCACCCCACGGGAGCCGCAAAGAGCAACTCTAGTTGAGCGTGTCATTGAGCTACCCTCACTTCGGGTAGGTTCTTACGGCACCCAACATGTGGGCTTGATGTGGTGCTAATTAGCCACCGAACCACCAAGTGAACGATCGACACAATAGGGACTAGCGTATTGGCAAGCATGTGAACCTCAGGATAAAAATCATCGTGTCATCCTTGTCTTCCTATTGGTTTGCAATCCCCTTACACAAGCTTGTAATTACTTTCATATACATTGTGCTTGTGTAGTTGCTCTTGTAATTAGTTGGCTTGTGTAGCTTGCTAGTTATCTTCTTGCTTGTGTAGCATAGAAATAGCTCCTTTGCGTGACTAATTTGGTTTGAGTAACCTTGTTAGTCACATTGCTTAGTTTGTGTAGCTAAGTAATTTGTGCTCTCTAATTTGACATTAGTTGCCTTGTTATTGAGTATTGCTAGTGAGCTTAGGCTTTGTGCTTTTGCATACTAGTTGTGTAGGAGCTCCCCCATGCTTGAAGTGCTAGCAGCATAGGTTTGTGTGACCTTGCTCCAAGAATTGGTTAGGTGCGCTCTAGCTAGCCCAACATCTTTGTTGCCTAATTAGGATCTTTATAAGGTGCTTGTGAACTTATATAGAGGGGTGTAGTCTTGGCTTGACCGATAGTTTTAATTCCGTATTTATTTCGGTTAGCCGGCGTGATTAAATTTAGAAAGGACTATTCACCCCCCTCTAGTCTACCATCTCGACCCTACACGTGTCCGGTCGCCCCGAGTTGGGCTGCTCTGTGAGCCCAACGGCTCTATTTTGATGGAGCCTCTATAAAAGGTGTTTGGCCGGCTCAAGCTCACTCTCTTGGCCATTTGCATTGACATAGCAACCTTATGAGCTTAGCCAAAGCCCTCCCACTCATCTCCATCATTGATTCATCATCTTTGTGAGATTGGGAGAGAATCCAAGTGATTCCTTGAGTGATTGCATCTAGAGGTACTTGGTGTTCATGTTTCGCTTGTTACTCTTGGTGGTTGCTGCCACCTAGACAGCTTGGTGCAGCGAGGATCATTGAACGGAGGAAGGTGCTTGTCTCCGACTTTGATCGTGGTGATTGTGAGGGGTTCTTGACCTTTCCCCGGTGGAGAGCCAAAAGGTACTCTAGTGGATTGCTCGTGGCTTGTGTGATCCTCATCTTGTGTGGTTGTGTGGCACCCGATTACGGGTTTGGCGTGTGATGCCAATTAGCGCGTGAACCTCCAAGTGAGTGAATCGCCACAACGAGGACTAGCTTACCGACAAGCAAATGAACCTTGGTAAAAATCATGTGTCATCATTGTCTGAGGATTTCATTGGTTATCTTGTGATTGATTGTGATCATCTTGTGATTGGCTCACTCCTCAACACGTCGGTATAATCATCACCGCCATCTCT